GAAATAATAATAATTTTAATATTGAATAATAATTCAATTCCTTAGGCTTCTGGAATATCACATTTCACTGATTTTTCTCCTTCCTCTTAGACCATAACTTCTTAGTCTTTGAGGTAAGGGATTCTGCACCAAATGTTGCTTAAATATTGACATTTCCCACTTGGTAGAACCTCAAACTTCTCCCTCCAGCTTTTCTGTAGACAATTAATTCCAGTACCAAATTTTTATCTCTATATACATTCTAAAGTACCAACCCACCTTTAATACATTTGTGCACTAAACGTTTCTACTTAGATTATCCAAAGATTCTCAAACTCAAGGAAATACTAAATAAAACCATTATCCATCTTTCTCCCTCTCAAAATCATGCCATTTTATCTATATTTCTAATATCAGTTGATAGTACCAACAGTCATCCTGTAACCTGAAAATAAAACCTTGAAGATTTCCTCTCAAATAATGATGATTCTCTTAAAATATTTTTGAGACATTATCCTTTTTTTTTTCCCTCTTGGCCTATACAATCTTAATTGAGGACTTAGTCACCACTCATTACCTACTGATTTAGGCTTCTAACAGGTTGTCCTGACTTCAAGCTAACCCTTCCCATCTCCTTTTCCACCCCCAGTTAATGATGCTTAATATAAACTTGCTCTGCTTATAATACTGAAATTATTCTCCAGGAGCTAAAGGATAAATTGTAAATTTACTAACATTATATTTAAAACCTTCCTTGATCTAACCTTCCTAACTGATCAACAACTAGTTTTCTATTTGCAACTTACTACATAGACATAAGGAGCTCTGGTAGCATAGTGCCGAAGGCACTTGACTGGTAACCAGAAGGCTGGTGGTTCAAACCCACAAGCCACTCCTTGGAAAGAAGGTTGGACAATCTACTTTTGTAGTGATACCACCTCAGAAATCCAAGGAGGGGTCGCTATGTGTCAGGTCTGACTCAATGGCAAATAACAGTAACAACAACAATGTAGCCATAATGGACAAATAAAGATAATTCAATGTTTTGTAATTATAACTTTCATCAAGATATTCCTTCACCTAGAATTTCAATCACTCTTCTGTGCACCTAGAACTTTTGTATTTGCTAAATTTTATTTTCTTTGTGATATCTCCCCTTTACTCCCCATAGTCATTTAGTCACACTTTATTCTATAGTACTCTCAACACAGACTATTGTCACTTTTCCCACTTGCAATAATTTGAGTATACTCCACACAAGAATTTGAGAGCAGGGATTATGTTTTTTCATGACAGTAAATCCATCACCTGCTAACCAGAACCAAACCCAGTGCCATTAAGGTGATTCAAACTCATAGTGATCCTACAGGATAGAGTAGAAATGCCCCACAGGGTTTCCAAAGTAATGGTTTATGGAAGAAAATTGGGTTTGAACTGCCAGGTATCAATAAATAATTGGTACCAAATATGTGGAAATTCTATGGCATTCCATGTTTCTAACTTAAAAGTGGCCATTGGGAAATAATAACCTATTTTTACTTTGCTCATGTTTAAAATTCATACTACCTTACAAGAAGATTGCACATGATAGAATTTGGTGGGGCAATTAAAATGTACTGATCTTTATGAATGTGAAAATCAGAAAAATAAATGAAAAGCTTTAAATTGAAGCTATTATCACACACCAATTGTCAAAGAAATTAGATTATAATTATAAATTATACTTCAACAACTGAAAACATTTTAAAGAATTTGTTGTTAGCACAGTCAAGTTTTACATCTCATAGAAATTATTTAGGCTATTCAGGTAATAACTCAATTCCCTGGAATTTTTTCCTGGAAAATTATCCTGAGAATAATATAGATTCCTAAGGTAAAATACCACATTTCATGGCAAACTGTGTACTTTTTAAAATCTCTTCAACCAAAGTTCTAGAACTCAGTACAGAAAAGGTTTAGATAAAAAAATAAATAAACATTTAATAATATTAATTTATGGCTCAATAGCCCACACTCATTCTTGGAAAGCATAGAAGTTTAGAAATAAAAAGCAAAAGCAAGGTCTTGACAAAGAAAGCAAGCTTGAAAAGACACATAAAATCTTTCCATCTCCAGGATGTAAGGAAAGTTGTGGTAGAACATATACCAGCATTCTTTAATCAAGTAAAATTTACTATATCAAATAAATAGCTTATCCTTTTCAAGAAATTAAATAATAAATACTATCAGTACAAGTCAAAGATATTCAATAAGCTTTTAAGCCCAACATACTCTGAAGTTTCTCACCTGGCTGGATGTTTTCTCTTATGATGGTTACGTGGTTATCTCGATCTGGTCGTGTGTGTTCATGCCAAAAGCCTATCACATGGCCCAATTCATGAACAACAATTCCAAATTTATCACAGTTCTTGCCGATAGAGATTGCCTGAGGTCCATTTCCCCGCCGACCTACATAAGAACAGCATCTGGAAAAAAATTAAGTAGAAAATGGAGATGATGGTATACAGGGTGATGCTTGATGAAATACAATCACCAGATTGTAAAGAACCTTTGTAAAAAATTGTGATAAACTATAAAGTACAACATATTCAAAGGCAGAACAGCCTTTCATTAATACATATGTCTAATTTCTTTGGTTTGAATTTCTAGTATCCTGATAAGATTGTGTATAATGGAAGGCAGTAATTCATTGGTCTTGAATTGTTGAGAATCATAGTTCACAAGACACTGCCAAACAACTTTCTTATTGTGGTGTAGTAAATTACATAGTGAGGTTTTTCTAGCCATAGGTCTTTGTAAACTCTGTAGTGGAATTTGCCATGTGTGACTGAGTAGCTCCTGATTGTTAAAGTTATCCACCTGGGGTATTTCTGTTGAGAGTGGCATGAAGCAATCTTCTGAGAAGTTCACTCTCTCTCAGGTGTATAGAATTCTGATGTTGATATTGGTTAGTTTGGCCACTCTGCCAGGCTCAAAAGAAGCCCTCCTAGAGGCAGAAGGAGTCTCTCTGACTGCTGTCTGAGAAAGATATGCTGCTGAGAGAAACATGGTCCTGAGAGATGAGAGAAAGATATGCACTTGCTGAGAGAGAGACACACACTGCTGAGAGATGTGAGAGACACACACTGCTGAGAGAGAGACATGGGAGACACACACTGCTGAGAAAGATACTGAGAGACATGCACTGCTGGGAGAGAGACTAAGAAAGACTGTCGGCTGCAAGACAGCAGGCTGAGAGAGACTAAGCATGTTCCTGAACTTGAATTGTAGCCTGTTGCTTCCCTAATAAACCGCATAATCTGTGAGTTCTGTGTGGCCACTGCAGCCAATTATTAAATCCAGCAGAGAGGTGCAGGAGGAACAGTTGGTACCAAGGTTGGTGAAAGGGCTGGAGGGAGGCACCATGTCCAGTCTTGCAGGAACAGGCCTTGGGCTACTGGTGGTGATTCTGTCTTCCTCTTGTGGGGTTAGAAGAGGTCAGAAGATGTGGCCTCCTTGTCTCTTTAGCACTTATTTATTAAGTTAAAAAGAAAAGTGCCAAAACTTAATGGCTCAAATGCTTAAAAGGAATTTTACTGGTCCAATAATCCAGAGTAAGTATATTTGACAGCCTTTTTTATTGTCATTAAATATGAATATTCCACCTCCCTTTTATGTTAGGGAGTTCTGGTAGCATACTGCTTAAGGCATTTGACTGCTAACCAGAAGGCTGGTGGTTCAAACCCATCAGCTACTTCTCGGAAGGAAGGCTGGCCAATCTACTTCTGTAGTGATACTGCCTCAGAAACCCAAGAAGGGGTTGCTATGAGTTAGATCCGACACCACAGCAATGGTTTGCCTTGCCTTCCTTTATTTCAAAGCAAATGATTCTAATGGCTTTAAATTCTTAAGCATTTTAGGGGTTTAAATCATAATATAGTAGTTTATCTCATACAATAGGAATTACATGGACCAATAGGTGCTGATTATAACAGTTAATTAAGTTTTATTGTGGTTGTTAGGTGACATTGAGTTAGCTCCAACTCATATTGACCCTATTTACAACAGAAGCAAACACTACCTAGTTGTATGCCATCCTCACAATCCTTACTATACTTGAGCCCATCATTGCAGCCACTGTGTCAATCCATCTTGAGGGTCTTCCTTTTTTTTGCTGACCCTCTACTTTACCGAGCATAATATACTTCTCCAGTGAATGGTCAGTCAACAACAAAAAGAAGAGAAAGATAACTGGCAAAGGTAAAAATAAGTGAATTGTGTTTTGCTCTCGAGATTTTTTTTTCAATAGTATGTTTCTAACAGATACATTTTTATCTATTACACACCCAAACAATAAAGTATTAGGTGTAGAAAAACTCAAATTTTGTGAATTTTGGACACATATTAGCTGAAATATTTGCTAACTTAAAGCAACAGTAATGAAACTCAAATATCTGATGATTATATAGCAAGTAAATTATCCACTTTGAGTCATTCTTGATGGTTATAGTTAAAGAAGAAAGTATTTTGCAGTGAAGCAATGTAGTCATTTTATTTAATCAAAAACACTCTTTTGAGCCTACTCACTCCCTTAGAAATTTCCCATAAATAAGATGGGGTTTCATAATGAAAAGGAAAAACATATTTCACAATTTCATTCATAGAGTTATTATTTTACAATGATCCTATAAAAGGAGAAAAATGTGGTAGCTTTGATCCCTGATTTATCTAAGAGTTGTCTTAAGAATAAGAAAATCCAGGTGTTTAGTTGAAAAAGAAAGCTAAATGAATACACATACAAATATTAGGCATGAAGTTATAGGTAAACTGTATACATGCATGGGTACACACAGGTTGTACTCTAAAACCTAAGCACTCATGAGAATGATAGGATAAAGACTCTATTATCAAAACTGATAGGGTAGCACACACAAAGGCACTTTACAAAATGGTGGCAATTGAAAGCCATTATCATTTACAGAAGATAAATAGTAACAGTAAATAACAGGAACAGATAACTTATAGAAAATAAACAGTAAACAACAGGAAGAGATTTGAGGTGAAGTAATTCCCTTCACCCATATGAGTACCCCAACAACATCATAAGAAAGGAACCCATTTATGTCTAAAAGGTGACCTGCTCACCCTTCCAAAATTTCTGTGCTATGTGGTGAGTAAGTAAGCCATAGACCAGATTATCCAGTGTCTTTCTCTCAGCAAGTGTGTCATTAGCTCAGGTCAGTTGTGGTATGGCTGTTTGTTCTCTCTCTCCCTTCACAGTTGTTGTTGGCTGAGTCTGGTCTCCTGTGCTTATTGGTCTAGCTCTCAACCAGCAGCTTTGGGATAACATTGGGCCAATGCCAGGGTTAGACTGTTATTACAAGAGCTCTCAAGGCAAAACTGTTTTACTGGCAACCTCTGAAAGGTGTAGGCTCAGATTTCTGCAGATAACCTCTCAGTCCCCTTCAGAATAGTCCTACTCTTAGTTCCCTCTAAAAAGGGAACCTCTTGTCCCCTTCAAGACAGATTTCTTCCTAGGCCACTCAGGACAGCCCTCCTTTCAGCCCCCTCAGGATAAGATTCTCTTGGCCTCCTCTGGAAAGGCCTCTCTCCGCCCCCTTTAGAATGGACTCCTTTTGGGCCCCTCTTTCCAGGTTTCCCCTGCAGCTACTTCCCTTTTATGGGGCACCCAGTTACACGAGTGCCTTCCACTCTGTGGGCCGACTTTGCCCAGCACTGTCACCACAATGACTGCTCTCTCTGCTGCTGGGCACCCTCTATGCCTCTCTGCCAGCAGTTCTCCCACTGTTTCTCTTTTCTGGGCCTCTTGCCGCTGTTTTTCTTGGTGTAAAGTCTTATCGGTTCAGTGAGTGTTGCCATCTCCATGGTACAGCCATTTTATCCAGGTATGTTGTTGTTGTTGTTATGTGCCATCGAGTCGGACCCGACTCATGGTGAGCCCTCCTTGGGTTTCCGAGGCAGTATCACTGCGGAAGTAGATTGCCCCATCTTCCTTCCAAGGAGTATAGGAAGTACTTAAAGCAGGAACCTGGGTGCAAAGAATGGCACTTCTCTTCAGGCTCTTGTTGATCAGGAGGTTCCCAAAAAACCTCTGTTAGATTGAGAACTTATATAGGAAAACTTGTAAGTTTCAAGACACATCTTTCTTACAAGGATTATAAATGAACCAATCCTTTTATCTGGATAGCAAACTGACCAATTCTTGTAAAACATTTTTATGCAGATAGCAAACTAATCAATCCTTAGAAGCTGTTTAGGTGGATAAGGAAGAGACTAATCACTTGGCAGATTGCAGCTCAACTAATTATTCTGGGGAAATTGCAAACCAAAGGCCAGAAATGAAACTCATTGCACCACAACAGAGTAACATGTAATAAAAAGTAAAGAAAAGAAAAAGTATCATTTAAACATGTCCTTGGAAGGAAGACTGGGCAATCTGACTTAACGGCAGTACGTTTAGTTTTTTGAGGGAGATGTTATCTTGGTTTTTAAGGTCATCCGGGTGTGATGCTATTTTCTTAATAGAGCTTTTGAATTTTTGTTTTTATTTGTATAGCTCTTTTAAAGCGTAAGGAGCTCTGGTGGTGCAGTGCCTAAGGTATTTGACTGCTACCCAGAAGGTTTGGTGGTTCAAACCCATCAGGCACCCAGAGAAAGGATGACTGGACAATCTAATTCCATAAAGATCTACCGTCTCAGAAAACTCAATGGGACTTGCTATAAGTTGGAATCAACTCGATGGCAATGGGTTTGGGCTTTTGTTTTGTTTTGTTTTGTTTCAAAGCATGGCCATTATAAGGTCTTTATACTCTTTTGAGGAAAATATTCATCTATAAGGAAGCTTCATCTTTCCCTAAGCCATAAAAGGTAATCAGGTAATCTAAAATCTGATATTATTTACTACTGTCTAGAAATGGTAAGCCAAAGTACCTTTGAAATTAGCTTATCACTTATCAGGACATCTATAAAGTTGTAATTGGTTCTATTTTTTCAATTTCTGTACTTTAAATACATATAATATTTAGGTTAATTACCAGGTGGTGGCATAGTGGATAAGACACTTGGCTGCTAACCATAAGGTCAGCAGTTCAAACCTGAGCTGTTCCGTGAGAGGAAGATGAGGCAATCTATAAAGATTTACAGCCTTGAAAACACCGTGATTTTTTTTTTCCATTTAAATGGATCAATTCATTTATTTTATTTAATAAGTTTTCCACAAAAATCTCCTCAAGAAAGATCATTAAAATTTAAGATTCACCACTAGAATATAAGATACATGAGAGTTGTTGTCGTTGTTATGTATGGTCGAGTCGGACCCGACTCATAGCGACCCCTCCTTGGGTTTCTGAGGCAGCATCACTACGGAAGTAGATTGCCCAACGTTCCTTCCGAGGAGTGGCTGGTGGGTTTGAACGGCCAGCCTTCTGGTTAGCAGTCAAGTGCCTTAGGCACTATGCTACCAGAG